AAATTCATAAGTTCATAAATTCAGAAATTCAGAAATTCAGAAATTCATAAATTCAGAAATTCAGAAATTCAGAAATTCAGAAACTCAGAAATTTAGAAATTCAGAAATTCAGAAATTCATAAATTCAGAAATTCAGAAATTCAGAAATTCAGAAATTCAGAAATTCAGAAATTCAGAAATTCAGAAATTCAGAAATTTAGAAATTCATAAGTTCATAAATTCAGAAATTCAGAAATTCAGAAATTCAGAAATTCAGAAATTCAGAAATTCAGAAATTCAGAAATTCAGAAATTCAGAAATTCAGAAATTCAGAAATTCAGAAACTCAGAAATTCAGAAATTCAGAAATTCAGAAATTCATAAATTCAGAAATTCAGAAATTCGGAAATTCAGAAATTTAGAAATTCAGAAACTCAGAAATTCAGAAATTCAGAAATTCAGAAATTCAGAAACTCAGAAATTCAGAAATTCAGAAATTCAGAAACTCAGAAATTCAGAAATTTAGAAATTTAGAAATTCATAAGTTCATAAATTCAGAAATTCAGAAATTCAGAATTTCAGAAATTCAGAAATTCAGAAATTTAGAAATTCATAAGTTCATAAATTCAGAAATTCAGAAATTCAGAATTTCAGAAATTCAGAAATCAGAAATTCATAAGTTCATAAATTCAGAAATTCATAAGTTCAGAAATTCAGAAATTTAGAAATTTTAAAAAATCTGGAATTCCGAAAATTCAAAAAAGAATTAAAAACTAGAAATTAACGCTTCCAAAAAATAGAAAAACCCAGAAATTACGTTATTCAGATTTTCAGAAAATCCGGAAATTCTACATGTTTTAAAAGTTTAAGACTCCCAAAAACTCAAAAATTGAAATCTCAAAAGTCAGAAACTACAGAATAGTCGAAAATTACCAAAAAATCAGCATTTTCAGAAATCCCAACTTTCAGAATTCAAAAATTCAGAAATTTCAAAAAAGTCTCATTTTTCAAAGTTTCCGAAAAATTCAAAAATTCAAAATAAAACCACACTATTAGTTTTTCAAAAATCTCAAAAAGTCCATTTCTCTGCACACTTTCATTCCACAACACACTGAAAATTCCAAAAAAATCGAAACTTTGAATTTTGGAAAAATTCCAAAAAATTGAGTTTTCAAAACTCCACCTAAATTCTAAAATGAACTTTAAATCAAAACAAACACCTGACATTAGATTTACAACTAATTTCAAAAAAAAAAAACATTTCTCCGCACTCCACAACACTCTATTTCCTCACATGTCTGTCTGTGTGTCCACAAGTCCTAGATGTCCGCCTCAACCCATTCACTTCCCCTTGCCACGTCATACGACTGCTGCCTCGGAGGCAGCAATCTCATATTAAAATGACCTAAACCCTTTGATCTTTGGGTTACTGTAGTTGGTACACCACCGCTACGCGGTGGCTGTCGACGCGACGCGGCCGCGTAGCGTGTGATAACTACGGTAGGGGAAGTAGGATCGGGTGAGCAAGATGAGGAGGATCCTATCGAACTTGCCGATTTCGATTTTTTCTAGAAAAAATTCAGAAATTCAGAAATTGAGAAATTCTAGAAATTCGAAAAATCCAAGAAATTCAGAAATTCAGAAATTCAGAAATTCAGAAATTCAGAAATTCAGAAATTCAAAAATTCAGAAATTCAGAAATTCAGAAATTCAGAAATTCAGAAATTCAGAAATTCAGAAATTCAGAAATTCAGAAATTCAAAAATTCAGAAATTCAGAAATTCAGAAATTCAAAATTTGAGAAATTCAGAAATTGAGAAATTCTAGAAATTCGAAAAATCCAAGAAATTCAGAAATTCAGAAATTCAGAAATTCAGAAATTCAGAAATTCAGAAATTCAGAAATTCAAAAATTCAGAAATTCAGAAATTCAGAAATTCAAAATTTGAGAAATTCAGAAATTCAGAAATTCAGAAATTCAGAAATTCAGAAATTCAGAAATTCAGAAATTCAGAAATTCAGAAATTCAGAAATTCAGAAATTCAAATATTCAAAAATTCAGAAATTCAGAAATACAGAAATTGAGAAATTCTAGAAATTCGAAAATTCAGAAATTCAGAAATTCTAAAAATTCGAAAATTTTGGAATTCTAAAAATTTTATCTGAATTTAGAATTTTGGAATTTAAGAGTTTCAGAATTCCAAAAAAAAAATTTTTGTTGGAATTTTCAATTTTTTGCAAAATGTCCTTTTTATTATTTCAAAGTTTAAAAATCCCCTTTTTCAGACCAAAAAAACAGAAATTCAGAAATTCAGAAATTCAGAAATTAGAAAATTCCAAGAAATTCAGAAATTCAGGAATTCAGAAATTCAGAAATTGAGAAATTCTAAAAATTCAAAAATTCCAGGAGATTCCAAAATGCAGAAGTTCGGAAAATGGGAAAATTACATCAGCGTAATTTCGGAAAAATTGAAAAACTGATAACTGACATCATTGAAATTTTTTTTTCGGAAGTTGATTGTCAGTCAAAATCAACTGACAGATTAAAAAGAACAAAGTTATCAGCAGCGCAAATATTGAGTTTGAGTTCTTTTTTTTTGAAAAAAAAGTCCGATTTTTCCAAACTACAGTAATCCT